TTATTTTAAAAAAAAAAAAAAAAAAAAAAAAAAAAAAAAAAAAAAAAGAAGCAAGAAAAAAGACGCGAAAAAACATATTAGCGGAAATAATGCCAAATTGAAATTTATGTTAAAAGAAAAAAAAAAAAAACGTCTTAAATTGAATTACGAATTATATGCAGAAACATGTCGGATATTTATTATTGCAGTAATACCAAGGTAAGTAAAAAAAATAAAAAAATAAAAAAATTAAATAAATATAAAAACAAAAAAAAAAAAAAAACACGTATAAAATCCTTATGCGCATAACATACAACATAATCAAGTATTCAAATTTTTTTTGTTATTTATCTACACATACACTTAAAGAATATTATTACACTGTTTTTGTTCATAGATTGCCCATAGTAATGCATGCACGTGTATGTAAAGTTTTGATGTTGTGTGATGGGGAGATGCCGGTCCGTTGTAGTCGTGTTCAAAATTTCACTTTCACCCAAACTGTTTTCTTAATGATTTTTTTTTTTTTTTTTTTTTTTTTTTTGTTAAGGAGTCAACATAATTGTTGCTGTTATTGTTTATTATTGTTTAAATATCACGTAAAACGAGTTATAGCAGTTGTTTTGACTTGATATTTTTGATAAAAAGAGTACATAGCGCGACTCAAGTCTATGAAAGGAAATTTTTAATGTCTGAGAAAGCGTTTAATAAAAAAAAAATAAAAAAAAATACATAATTTAATATTTATATTAAGAATTTTTGTTTTATTTACACATTCTTAAGAAAAAAACATTCTTTAATTTCTTACAATTGAATGCAAGATTAATTATAATTTAATTATAATAGCCAATAGAGGTAAACAAGTTACGAGAAAGGAGTGATTAATAAAGTGTTCATAAAATTTGCATACAAAAAACAAAAAAAAAAAAAAACAAAAAAAAAGCCAAACATGTTCGCATTTAAGTGAAACATGCGACTTATTTACTAACCGATAAGGTTATTATAATTTTGTAACTGCATATGTGTGTGGGGGGGCTAATAAATCACCTAGGGAGGGAGTAGCATAGTGTAGTGTATAAAAAAAAAAAAAAAAAAAAAAAAAATTAAAAAAAAATGCGGCCATCTATGACGACTCATTAAATCTACACCTGTTTTGCGAGAGAATTTCTTTGCATCGAAAGGACTTGGCCTGAATTTATTGATGGTTTAAGGATAGCATTAACGCATACGCTGTCATCGTTCTGCTTTTTTTTTTTTTTTTTTTTTCGAAAACAACATTTTATGATATTGCTCGGATAACAGATATGTACAATGATTTACTAAAAAGGCTTAATAAAGCATAACATGGCGTGAAATGATAGATAGATAGATAGATGTATATAAATACGATAAACCGTAAAATCGTAAAAAACTCAAAGTTATGTTACATTAGCATTACTTAACTTCTTCGCGAATACAAAACAGAGTCAAGATGTGGAAAAATAAATGCATTTAAGCATTAAGATCAACGAAATGTATAGCGTAGACGTAAAATTTTCCACATATAGATAAGCACAATATGTATATACAATATGTCTTAACCTGATGTACCTGGATTACACATAGAACAGACAGATCCAGAATCCATTTGAAATCTGTAATTAGATATTATATTAAAAAACTCTGCCACGACGGTATTGAATCTTTATTATTAAATGAATCAAAATTCGTCTGCCGATGACATTATTCATAGAAAGATTTCTTAGAAGTCGTCCTGAAACGCTTTTCAACTTTCGCATTGATTTCATCGTTTCATTTATCTACTTTTTACTGCGGCATCTCTTTAAGATTTGCGAAAAGTTTATGATTTGCTTGCAAAATAATTTTCGTATGCATAAATCTTCATGCAAAATGATGAATACACTGCATCTTGATCTCTTTAAGATGTTCGCCACCTCTTATAGGCAATTAAAATAATAATAATAATAATAATAATAATAGTAATAATGTAAGTTTGTTAAAATTTTAGATTAAAATTAGATTAGAATAAGATTTAGATTAAAATTTTAGATTTGTTAAGGTTTTAGTTATTTTAGTTTGTGATGAGAGTACCTTCGATGGGCAACTTTAGGTTCTAAATTTCAAGTACCAAGTTAATGAACAATTTAATACAATTTGTCTTCAGTAGCGTCTATATATATATATATATATAAAATGAATATAATGCTCATGTGTACGAATTGAGTGAATGCCAATTCGAATAAAGAACAGGTTATGTATATACGACATTTGATGAAATGCCAACACGAATATTTTTAAGAACCCTTTAGGTTGCGCATACATGCATACAATTTATAATAGTTACCGTTTTAGTTCGTAACGGTTAACTCAATCACAATATTTTATAAATGAATGTATGCCTCGAGATTGTTATTTTCATTTACATAATTATTATATTCATACATATATATATAGCCAACACAATTTGTGACTTTTTTTATTTTGTATTCTATACGAGTAAATGGCAATCAAACGTCGTTGTGTGTGATTATCATAACAGATAGATAGAAGACAAGGAACTTTCTCTATGAATAATTCGGCGATTTGGGCAAAAATTAAAAAAGTTTCACTTAGTTCGAGTTCGATTGTCATGTGTGCTAAGCAATATTGATGATGAATCCGCGCTTACACGCATTCGAGTATGGCGTAGATAATTTAAGAAAAAGAATAACATTTCATTTCAATTTACACGTAGACAAGTGTTTTGTAACATTCTTCGCACATGTTTTCATTTACTTCTTTTTTTTCTATCTATCGGTATTTTTATGTAAATTGGAGCAAATAATGCACACGTAATGTATGCATAATGCTTATTTATATTTACATATATATATATATATATGTATTCATTCATATTATTTGTATTCATTTCAAATGGAAATGGATCTGCAAGCTTAGCCTAAGAACAGATAATTCTTGATAAACAAGTTTGTTACTTAAGTTTTTCGTTCGGCAATGTTGAGATGTTTGCGGCGGCGTTATATTAACAATCACATAAACTAAGAGAGTTTATGTAATCTCAATTAATCATTTTTTTTTTTTTTTTTTGTTTTTTTTGTTTTGTTTTCATCTTCTTTATATCATGGTTTCTTCAATCGATTGTGTTTTTTTTCTTATTTTGCTTCTTACATGCGTGCATATAAGTCGGTTGGATATGTTCGTGTCTATTTATTGTTCATCAAATTTACAAAAGCTCTAATGTGTGAAAGTAGGCCATCTGTTCAAAAAATTATACATTTCTACACTTTTATGAATATAAATATATAGATAGCGAGATACGTGTAAGTTATCTACTACCACTGCTGCTATGTTTATTGTTTGGTAATGAGCATGAGATTAAGAATGAATATGTACATACATATATATATATATGTACATATGTGTGTGCGTGAATATGTAGGTTTGTGAATTATGTATTGTACATTGACTTATAACAATGCCTATATGCTTTCTATACATGTACATATGCAGATATGTATCTGCGCATATAGCTCTGCTTACCTCCATAAGGAACAATGTTCTGAAAAAAAAAAAAAAAGAATTAAACATAGCGAGGTTACTTATTCCCATGCTTTTATTTATATATATATATATATATATATATGTTTTCTTTAAACATAAAATTGTGAGAACGAATTAATGTATTTTTAAATTGTTTGCCCATAAAATGCAGCAGCGATTTAAGAGAATATGGTTGGTTGCTTTAGTTGGTTTTAATTTTACTTTGAGGTAAGATTTCATAAAAAACAGAAATTAATGGCAATAATGTTTTTTGGTCAAAGTGAATTTTCGTTCTGTGATTCACTTTAATTCAATATAAAATAAGGAGCGACACATAAAACAAGTTTGCTAAAAAAATTCTGCTACGAGAGTAAAGTGCGGAAAACTGTGTCGGCGAGAAAACGGAAAAGGGTGTTGTTAGCTTAATAAAACGCTTAATTTTAATTATTTAATTTTTATAAAGAGCGAGAGAGAAAGCGAGAGAGAGAGATTCCATCCTTAAAGCATAGAGCCTACAGTTATCTAGGGCTCTCATAGGCATTATTTAAAGGGCTTAAATTTTTTTGTCAACCACCGAAGCTTTTAGACGTGCAAAAATATAGAAGACGAGTCACAATATTCTACACGATATCTGTTTTCTTCCATTAGATTGGAAAAATATTTTTTAATAATGGATAACTTATTTAGATGACTAGCACCACTTATACATTAGCCTAACAGGCTGATAGACTAATATTAGTGTTCAACTTTTTTTTTTTAGCGAGAACAGGTTTACCGGTATATGAAGTCCATTGTCCCTGTAAATGTTCCTCTTAAGCCTATATTGCTTATGAATATGAAAATGCGTAAGAGCTTTTATTCATTATAGGCGTGAATTTTGGACGAGTCACACCACTTATGCATTAACTAGACGTGGATATGCCCTGTTTCAACAGTCCATCTTCATTTTTGCAGCCATGACCGTTGTAGCAATGTTAGGCAGACCCAGAACTTTGTATTAATCACACGTATACTTTATAGCAGGTTTGTGCTTAAGTTAGGTCAGTAGCATCCGCATACAGATTTCGTAGTCTTCGTAGGAGACGAAAATAAATTGATCAAAAATGGACAATAACTGAAAGTTTTTTTCACTCTATCAACATTCATTATTTTTTTTTTTTTTTTTTTTATAGACTAGAGAGGAGCATGCGATTTTAAGTTTCGCATTTCTCACAGTCTGCTCATACTATCATGCGATTTTAAGTGTTATGTCTATGTTAGATACAAAAAATTATTCTCTCATGCTACTTATATTTGTCATGCAATTAACTAGTGCAAAGATAGGCACTGCTACTGTAGAATCAATCGTTTGATCGAGTTAGAGCGATTTTTCGAATTCAAGAGGCATAAGTCCGCGAAACCTTAACGCTCTGGTCAAAGTGATTTTGCAAAACGCAATTACACTTACCTTTGAATTAAAGAATGTGACAGTGTAGTTGTACCCTACAACATTTGTGGTAAAAGAGTGTAAGGTAAGTTTGTGCGATTGCATATAACATTGAGATAGACTCACAGCCTTTAATTGTAAATGCATTGTGCTGTGAATCGAGTTAAACTTGTCTGCCCGTCGGTCTGTCCATCTTATTTTGAAGAGTCGCCGCATGATTTAGGGTATTTAATAGTAGACCGTGTGACGCACT